CCCACCCCAAACCCACCCCAAACCCACCCTACTCAACCCACCCCCGCCCACCTGTACCCACAAACCCTCAACCCTAAACTTAAACCCTAATGCCCTAAACCCTCCTCCCTTAACCCTAAACCCTATCCCCTGAACCCTAAACCCTTATCCCTAAACCGTGACCCCCACCCACCCACCCCACCCCACCCACCCCACCTACCCCACCCACCCCACCCGCCCCCCACCCACCACCCACCCCACCCCACCCCAGCACCTAACCCACCCCAGCACCGAACCCGCCCAATCCACCCCCAGCCACCCTCCACCCACTCCAACCCACCCCACCCCTTACCCGGGTCTGCGCAAGACCCCCCTTCGGTCTGTGCAAGACCGAAGGGCCTAGGTGAGTGTTTAGGTACAGCTGACCGTATCCAGTCTAGGACAGGTGCTAGTTAGGTCTTCAGGCAGGGCTTGGTCAGCTGTACTAGGACTAGGAGTGTTTGTAAGGGTCTGTGCAAGACCCGGCAGAGGTCCGAGCAGGACCCTGCCTATAGACAAGGTCGGATACGGTAGGCTAACGAGGACCACAGTGTCATTTCATTGCCAAAGTAGGTGTTGGGTGCGCTTCTCAGTGGTGGCTAATGCCCGGTATGGCCCCTACAGGGGTGGGACTTTATGTCTCGGCAGGATCCCCCTGGGTCGCTATATCTCGACACCGAAACGGCATGATTTGTCCGGTCCTTGGAGGCCTAGTTGTATCCACCATGTCTATGCGAATAAGACAGGGTAGAGGGGTAGACTTCCCCAAACCCTGGACCTTTAAACCCTAAAATCCCCGGGGCAGGGGTTTCGGGGTGTAGGTTGAAGGTTTATGCTCTATTGACCCTGGACCTTTAAACCCTAAAATCCCCGGGGCAGGGGTTTCGGGGTGTAGGTTGAAGGTTTATGCTCCATTGGAGGCCTATGGGGCTTAGCTTATTAGGCTCTAGTGATTAAACAGACTCAAGGGTTTTATTCATCAGGGTATGGCGATCACTTTAGGCTTCGTGTTTTAAGCTTCGGGTTTGGGGGTCATTTCTGAATTACTAACCTCTGAACCCCATTACTAACCCTCGAAGCTAGACCATTTTAAGCCTGGACAGGTGCCTTCGTGGTCCCTGGCTTTTCCGGACTTGGAGGCCAGGCTCTTTTCTTGAGGTTTCGACTTGAGCCGTATTTAGTATGCTGCCCGCGCCAGGACCTCGGACTCCGGCTTCTGGACTCGGAGGTCTTCCCCGAAGGTCTGAGCTCGTCATTGCATGCATGGGACATCCTGGCAGGTCTGACATTCTGCTCGTGGTCTTCCTTGCAGGTCCGAGCCTTTGGCCTTTCATGTGATGAGTTTCGCCACAACTTGCAAGGACGTGTCGCGGGCTTTCGCGGGCTTTGTCTTGGAGGTCGGAGGTTTTGTTTTTCGTGTTGAAGAGGTTCATGTCATATCCTGGAAGGTCGGCTTTGGCATTCTCGTCGGCCTCCTGGTCTTGCTTGCAGGTCCGAGCCTTTGGTTGGCCTTTACAAATACTAATTGGGGCATATCCTGCCAGGTCCATGCCAGATTCTCCTGGACTTCGTGCTCCGTCCTTTGTCTCTATGGGAGGTGCGAGCCTGTTCTCTTGCACCAATGGGACTTTTGTGACATACTGGAAGGTCGGTTGGCATCATCCTCGTCGGTCTTTCTGGGAGGTCTGGGCCTTGGGCTTTTCAGCAGAACCTGTGCGACTGTCATATCCTGCAAGGTGGGCTTTCGCATCTACGAGGTCTGAGTCTGAGGTTGTTAACCATTTTAGCCAATGCGACATTAGCCACATGCTGAAAGGTCGCCTGGTGCATCCTCCTCGGGCTCCCGGTCTTCATTGGAGGTTTAGTCCTTTGGGCCGGGTTTTGTGTCGTATTTTGTGATTGATACTGATGGGCAGGCTGGAGACTTTTCTGCTGGACTTCGGTGACCACGACTCTGTGGAAGGCCTCCTTGCCCATTGCAGCTTTGTTTGGGATGTGCTGAGGTTTGCTTGAACTTTTGTGTTGTCATGAGCAAGTGGTTGATGTGACTGCTGCGGTCTGCAAACTCAAGGACATCGGCCCGGATTGGCCTTAGGAAGGACATGACATGTCATGCATGGCGCCAAGGGTGCAGGAATAGTTATTGATTTCAGTGATGTCTAGTGCCTTCGAATCCATGGTCGCTCCTCCCCTGGGCTCGGAGAAGGACCTGCCTATGTCATTAAGTCCTTTTTTTATAGCAGTGCTCTTGAGTTGCACAGGACCTCTATCGGCCGAGGGAGTCCGGGCAGCCCCGACGTAAGGGCGATGTCAGCCCAAACGTCTGGGAGGATGCCCTGAAGGCAGTGACTTGGATCCTTATGGACACTGGATTAGGAAACTCCAAATCAAAAGTCGGGGCAGCAGACAGTGATCTGAGGTGGTCTACAAGGTCCGCCAGATGGCCCCGGACGTTTTCGCGGCCATGGTCAGGTTGGACCTGGACTCGGACGCCTGGGTGGAAACTAGGCTGCAGTGGCCAGCCAGGCTTTCTTGATTCTGATTTTTTGTGGTGTCACCGTGATCCGAGGGAATGCTGGCCCTTTTGTCCCATCCATTGGGCAAAAAGGACTGCCATGCCTGTGTCTGCAGGCTCCTGCCGGCACGGTGGCCCGGCTGCATCTGGTCTAGGTCCTTTGACTTGCCAGGTCACTGACTTTGTGGTCTCTGAGGTCTGTGGGGCACGACTTGAGCAAGGCGGTCTCCGGCGGGGTCACCGAGCGGCTTCTCGCCTACACCGACGAGGCCGACTCCTCGCTCCTCGAGGTCTTCAACAAGCCGGGGGGTGCACCCGTGAGAACCCAGGTGTCTGGACCATACCCAGGGCCTCCGACGTGGACTCACCAGCCAGGGCCGCCACCCAGCCCCTTCCTTCCCGGACCTCCACCCCGCCCGGACGATGTGGCATCGGGCTCCAAGGACCCGACGGGCGCGGCCACGGCTAAGGCTCCCCCCACCTCGGTGAGTGGGCCGGCCGCCGATGAGGAGGAGGACCTCTGGAGGAGGACGGAGGCCGAGGTGACGGCAGCCCGTCAAAAGAAGGGCCAGGACCCAGTTTTTTTTCTTTTTCTCTCTCTCAGTCTCTCTCTCTCTTTCTCTCTCTTTCTCTGACCTGGCCAGGACGATCCTCCCCCTGGCTTGGGCAAGGACACTGGCAAGGATGCGGCAGCGGCCCCAGCCAAGGACTCTGGCCCGGACCCGGGTGCCACTCCCACGGACGACTCCTATGTCTACACCCGCTGGGGGCCAGAGCTGCGGTCGGACTTGGATGAGCCGGCCTCGGATCCGTCTTGGGAGGACAGGGAGAAGTCGGACTGGCAGTGGGAGGCCGAAGAAGTCTGGCAGGAGTGGAATGGGGTCTTCTACCTGTGGGACGGTGGCACCTGGATCAAGCCGCGTTTCCTGACTGATATATTCAATCAACATAAAATCTCTCTCTCTCTCTCTGTCTCTCTCTCTCTCTCTCTCTCTCTCTCTCTCTCTACACACATGCTCTTAGTCTTTCTTTCTCTCTATCTGTTTGTGGCTCAACTGAGGTGGCAAGGGCAAGGGCTTGGGCGGCAAGCCTTGCCAGTGACTGGCCTCGGCTTCATCCGGCTTTTTTCTTCGGACCTGCTGCACATAGCGACTCGACATGAAGCAGAGCCATGGTCGTTTTGGGTGGTCGTCTGACTAACTCAGGTTCTCGGACTTCGCTGCGGGTCTGCGGTCCTTGTCTGGCCTTTCGGAACTCCAGTCGCTCTGCTGCTGGTTAGATTCTTTTTGTCTTTGAAGTGGGGGTCGCCTCCATTGCTCGCCTGCTGAGGCTTGGGCCTTGGAATACCACGACGACCCCTGACCGTGGCACCATAAGAGCTTGCCAGCACGACGGTCTCTGCTTGGACAGGTCCTATTAAATTTAGGCGAGGAAGTAGGCATCTAGGGCTCAGGGCAGGTCTTCAAGGTGAAATGATAAGTGTATTCTACATGGCAGGACCCTGTCAGTGCAGCTGCCGGTTGCATTCAGAGTTTTATTCGTGCTGCGAAGACCTGGAAAAGATTCGTCCGTTGCCATGCCTTCAGCAGCTTTGAGTATGGATTGTCGTTGTGGTTTCACAGTTCCACCTTGTGGCCAGGCATGGTTTCCGACGTGGACCGCCGGCGCCCCACCTTGGCTTGCATCGTTGCCTTGCTGCATTTTGTGCCACTGCCCAGGTCAACCATGGCTTCTCGGACTTTCCTCCACTGGCCAAGGCACGGTGTGTCTCTGGTGTTGGGGATGACCAGGACTGTTGCATGCTGCATTTTGTGCCACTGCCTAGGTCAACCATGGCTTCTTGGACTTCCTCCACTGCCCAAGGCACGGTTTGTCTCTTGTGTTGGGGATGACCAGGACTCTTGCATGCTGCATTTTGTGCCACTGCCCATAGGTCAACCATGGCTTCTCGGACTTCCTCCAGTGGCCAAGGCACGGTGTGTCTCTTGTGTTGGGGACGACCAGGACTCTTGCATTACTACTCCTACTACTACTACTGCTGCTGCTGCTGCTACTACTACTACTACTACTACTCCTGCTACTGCTGCTGCTACTACTACTACTACTACTACGACAACCACCTACTGGTACTAGCCTCCCTCCC